CTCCCAATTGGGGGCGTGGGTCATACAGCCGATACATGCGCTGGATGGTGCCCTCTGCCTCTCATCGGGGTAGCGACAACCGGACAAGAGTGTAAGCCTAGTAGGCACTCCGACATTACATCATCTCGCCCGATCACCACAAACAGCCAACAATTGGCTCGCGTCCGTCAATTAATAAGGTTTTCACCGCACAACGACCATCACCAGGCTCCCAATTGGGGGCGTGGGTCATACAGCCGGTACGTGCGTTGTTGCGGTGCCTCCTCGCCAATCAAATCAGGTTGTACATAGCAGCAAATTTAATCACCGCCGAACCCAACAACTAGCAAGGCATTAATCGATCATCGTCGTCGAATCACATAGCGGCGAACCGAAATCGCCGCTGAACCCAACAACTACCGAAGACACGCGCCATGATTGATCCCCACCTTTTCACCGCACGACGACCATCACCAGGCTCCCAATTAGGGGCGTGGGTTATACAGCCGGTACGTGCGTTGTTGCGGTGCCTCCTCGCCAATCAAATCGGGTTGTACATAGCAGCAAATTTAATCACCGCCGAACCCAACAACTAGCAAGGCATTAATCGGTCATCATCGTCGGATCACATAGCAGCAACTGAAATCGCCGCCGAACCCAACAACTACCGAAGACACGCGCCATGATTGATCCCCACCTTTTCACCGCACGACGACCATCACCAGGATCCCAATTGGGGGTGTGGGTCATACAGCCGGTACGTGCGTTGTTGCGGTGTGATGAAGATCGTGTGTTTCGATTGCCGATAAGCCACAAACCAGTGCCTTGAATCGCCGATAGTTGCCTTGAGATTCACAAACCGCACCCCTCTAAATGAATAAAATTGCAATAGAAATCTAGAAGAAATCTAAGACAAAGTGTTTCAACAAAAGTTCGGATTTTTATTGATAAGTTCGATGATGAAAAATAACATAGGGAAGGGGCCTTTATATAGGCACAAAATATATCTAGTCCTAATCTACCTAGAGAATTATTAAAGCAATAAAATATTAGAAATCCTAATTAAGCTAGAAATTCCAAGACGAGCGCGGCTGTAATTCGGGACAAGCGTAAAACGCATAACTTTGGGACAACCGAGGGTCAGGCAACCTAGCCCAATGGGCTTTCCGTATCCAAGAGATCAAGCAACGCGCCATGGACCAACACTGGATGCTATTGCAACAATGTTGGCACACAACACGAGCTTCGATGTCCACCTCGTGCTTCACCCCCGAAAGGGTTGGCACAGGGCAGAGTCCGCAACCTGTTAACCGACATTTTTGCCGTACCCCTTGGGTATTCGGCATAACCATCGCCGCAGCGCAACCAACAATCGTTCGGGACAACAACCGTTTGGGACAACCGTTTGGGACAACCGAAGTAGATTGGGTGACAAGTCGTCGCTGCACAAGCAGGGAACCAACAAGCACGCACAAAACATATGCCACTCACGCGCCCACACGTACGCTGTGCCCAAGTACGCAGGCATTAATCGCAGCATAGCAGTGACCAACACCCGACGCACTCAAACACGCCCTGTTAAGCACGCAGAACATCCGTCAATTCATAAGCTTCAACCCTCTGCCTCTCATCGGGGTATCGACAACCGGACAAGAGTGTAAGCCTAGTAGGCACTCCGACATTACATCATCTCGCCCGATCACCACCAACACCCAACAATTGGCTCGCGCCCGTCAATTCATAAGCTTCTCGCCGCACGACGACCATCACCAGGCTCCCAATTGGGGGCGTGGATCATACAGCCGGTACATACGCTGGATGGTGCCCTCTGCCTCTCATCGGGGTAGCGACAACCGGACAAGAGTGTAAGCCTAGTAGGCACTCCGACATTACATCATCTCGCCCGATCACCACCAACACCCAACAATTGGCTCGCGTCCGTCAATTCATAAGGTTTTCACCGCACAACGACCATCACCAGGCTCCCAATTGGGGGCGTGGATCATACAGCCGGTGCGTGCGTTGTTGCGGTGCCTCCTCACCAATCAAATCAGGTTGTACATAGCAGCAAATTTAATCACCGCCGAACCCAACGACTAGCAAGGCATTAATCGGTCATCGTCGTCGAATCACATAGCAGCAATCGAAATCGCCGCTGAACCCAACAACTACCGAAGACACGCGCCATGATTGATGCCCACCTTTTCACCGCACGACGACCATCACCAGGCTCCCAATTAGGGGCGTGGGTTATACAGCCAGTACGTGCGTTGTTGCGGTGCCTCCTCGCCAATCAAATCGGGTTGTACATAGCAGCAAATTTAATCACCGCCGAACCCAACAACTAGCAAGGCATTAATCGGTCATCGTCGTCGGATCACATAGCAGCAACCGAAATCGCCGCCGAACCCAACAACTACCGAAGACACGTGCCATGATTGATCCCCACCTTTTCACCGCACGACGACCATCACTAGGCTCCCAATTGGGGGTGTGGGTCATACAGCCGGTACGTGCGTTGTTGCGGTGTGATGA